AAATAAATGATGTTTATTTAATTATTTTATTTAATTATTTTGGTATATAATGTAAACTTTAGTTCCAAAACAATTCTTAGAATAAAATGATGACTATGATTTCAAAAATGACAATTATGGAACATATTATACTAAATAGATTATCTTAAATTTCATCTAATAAAAGTTCAAAGAATCCTTCTAATATTCTTAAACCTATAAATTCTGTAACAAGAAGAAATGATGCTTTCCAAAAATAAATTAACAAGAAATTCAGGGTAGAATGACATTCATATTTAATTATTACATTTATGAATGATTTTGTGTCTTTTTTCTCTCTATACTGGACTAGATAACCCCAATATATTATCAAAGTCTATATAAATATAAAAATTATAAAGGTATATGTAACCTGTAAATCTGATCTAATAAAATATGTGTAGGGTCTAATAATATATACAAGAAACCTTTCAAAAGAATTTTTCTCAGATTACTTATCTTGATGTATTAATAAGCCACACTTAAGTATCATAAATTCATTTAGAAATTGTGTACAAAAATGAATTATCTATGATGGTTAATTAGTAAATTCTAATATTATCATCGATCTGTAGATGAATATAGTAAAAATCTTAATAAACTTCATCAAACAAACGAATATTAAATAATAAAAATCATTTTCCATTTTCTCTTTGATATCATATTTATAAAATATATATCCACACTAAAAACCTTAAATGGCTATCCAATAATTATTCTAGAATTCAGATAATTAATGAAAATCTCAATCTTACAAAATTTAAAAATTAGTATATTTTAAAGAATATTGATTATGCACAATTCGTTATCAAGAATCAATTACAAGATTATTGGTCACATAATGACATGTATTTAAATATATTTTTCCATTATAAATATTATAATAACAAACTAAGCCATAAAATTTATTTATTAATGGTTTTAATCTTTTATAAATGTTAATAATTATCTCAATTTAATTTTAGTATATTTATAATTACATTTAATTATTACAAGAATAAAAGGTGGTAATGGTATTTAATATCAAAATTATTTAGATTTCATTTCTTAACATGTAAGGATAAAATTACTTAATTTATTGGTGTTGTAACAAAATGAGGATTCTATTAATACATTTAAACTAATATTAAATATATATTTACTATTTACTATGCAAGATATAATTAATTAACAATTAATCTTCTTCTTTTTTTTTCCTATTGCTTCAAAATTAAGAAGAAGCTCTTGATTACTTTAATAAAAGATTATCGACTGATAAATGAAATGCAAATTTCCTTTATGGAAAAGGCAACAAGTTTTACAAATTAGGTGAAGGCTTATTCTGAATACAACAGTTTAATCGAATCTAAGTTTCTAAAGTTAACTCGAAAAGTCCTTAATATATTTTACTAGAGCTTTATAAGAAAACCAATAAAGCAGTCAAGCATTATTTGGAAAATGTAATAAATAAAATATTGTATTTTAAGGTGAAGCTTAATTAAATTTACAATAAAGATAAAATTTTTAAAGTGATGGTTTATACTATTGAAGCTAATAATTTAATTAGACAAATCAATTTAAATTCTGATAATTATTTTATAGATAAAGAAATAGCTAAGTATTTATTATTAATTAACAAGGTGCCTTTTTATTTTATATTTATATTTTCTATAAAAGATTAATTAGACTATCGGAATGCTTAGAATTTCCCTGTTATATAAAAACTTCCAATTATGAATATGGATCCATCATTGGAGCTTCGTATAAAATGCTCTCAATTAAATAAATTAACCTTTATGAAATAAATAAAAAAAGCTTTTAAATATATTCTCAAAGGCTTTCAACTCTACCTCCTTCATCATCAAGTTCTTGGGCCCATAATTTTAAGTTATCTCTAATTAATTGCATAATGGAGGTTGCATCTCTGCCTTCCTCATCTTCAATTTATTCAAAATCGGTAATAGCATCATCAAAAGCTTATAATTGATAAATAAGATTCTATACTAATTAAGCTAATTAGTATGCCTAAACAGCATCATTCATGACATCATAATAGAAAGCTGAGAAATTCAAAGCAAGTCCTAATCTAATTGGATTTGTGGTTTTTAATTCTGAATTAGAAACATTTGAAGCAGTTGAGTAAGCGGCAAGGGCACTATCAATATCATTTTTGCGTTAATCTACAGAAGCATATTCCCAAATATATCTGTGATAGTCTCCTTTCATCTTGTGTAAGAGCACTTTAGATTCAGGAGTTGAAGCTGTTTTGATCAAATGGCAGTCGATCTAATTGAGGATATCAAAGCAATATTGATTCAATTCTTCTTCAATCTTCTTCTTGTAGCTTCTGATCAACTTAAGATTATTTTGTGAGACATATTGGGATTGAACCTAAAATTTAAATTTATTTTTTTTACTTTTGCTTCCTCTATCCTTTCAATGCTGGACAAGACGCTCAAGGCTGTTCTTCTTCTACTAATAATATTTTTGTAAGCCACAGAAAAAAGGTTTCGCTCTTCGCTTGACAACTCTTATCCATTATGAACTATTTATTTGATGTAATTCACCATATCTTCGAATCTCTCTGTTATTTAAGTCAATTTGATCATATATATGAGATCTACCCTAGTACTCATATAGATTTAAAGTTTTTTATTTTTATTTCTTTCCAAAATCAAAGATCAAGGTTCAATAAAAAAATCAATAAAACTAAATAC